CCTATTTGATCTCATGTCTTATTAAATCCTGTTATTAACCAAATCAAGGTTAATGGTAATTTGAGGGGGGGAGAAGAAAACAATACAGCAGGTAAGGAAATTTGGGCACCCTTTCAATTAGTACCTTGTAGCCCTTCTTTGGCAGAAGAAACAGCTTCCAAATATTTGCTATAGGCAGCTAGGTATTATTATTGTTGTTATTGTTATTGTTATTGTTATTATTGATTTTTGTGTGCTTTCTTGCAGAATTTTTCTAGTTCAAGAATATTTTGAGGACTTTTTGCATGCACTTTATGTTTGAGATCTTCCCACATTTTTTACAGTAATATACAAGTTTGGGAACCATGGCAGCCATTCCAAAGACTTTCTCTTTCTCTCTTGTAATTGCTTCATGATTGATTTGGGAAACTATTTTGGAGTGTTGTCTTGCTAATGTTTCCAAGCTTTTTTCAGTTTCAATTTCTTCACTGACTGTGGAACATTAACTTCTTGGAAATGTTGAAATTTAGTAGAATCCATCCTTCCTTCCACCTACACAATATTTCCTGTGTTACTGGATGTCATATAACCCTCTTGCTTAATGACTGGCAATATATCCCTTTCTTTAGATTCCTCAGACAATTTTTTTTCAAATGTTTCTCATGTAGTACCTAAGGAAGTCAACTGTTGGTTTTTATCAGTCTAAAGCAATTTGTTCCAAAGGGTTTCAGGCTTATCAAAGTTTGTTGGTTTATGTGTTTGCATCACTGAAACAATGACCTGTGATGAGATTAGAGAAAATATTTCTTTCTGATAACTCTCTGATGAAGATTATTGTTGTATAATCAGTACTGCATAGAGGACTTTTGGGCAACTACTTTAGTGTCAGTTAAATGTTTTGGCAAGTCCTTTGCAGCGATTGTGGGTTCTGCCTTGCATAATCAGTGAAAAAATGAAGTTAAAAAGAAAGGTTGGATATTTCCAAGATCTAAAATTATTTATGAGCTAGAAGAGTTCCACAAGAAAGAGTAGGGCAAAAATCCAAACACAAGAACTAAAAGACTCTTAGAGGTGACTATAGGAACTATTTGAAAGCTGTTGTTTCTTGCCAAACAGGTATTGACTGAAAATGTATGCAGCCTTTTGGCCTGTTATTATTCACTATTTTAATTTATTTTGAATGTGTAAATAACTACCCATAAATCATAAGGATATCCATTCACATTTTCAGAAGGATGTTGCATTTAATTTTTTACCATGTAGAAGTTGTGTCAATTTCTGTTCGCTTCAGAAGTCCAAGAATGTACAATTTGACTAGTGGTGCCTAAACTTTTGTATGCAGTTGTAAAAGTTCTGGAAGAAGAGCAATCAATTCAAAGCTTTGTGCATTTAGTAGGATTCCTAAAGCATGATTATGTTGCAAGATAATAGGACAGCCAATGAAAACCAGTCTCCATATCATATTCCTATCTCTAACAGATAAAAATTGTCCTATTAGAATAGAATAGAATAGAATAGAATAGAATAGAATAGAATAGAATAGAATAGAATAGAATAGAATAGAATAGAATAGAATTGGAAGGGACCTTGAAGGTCTTCTAGTCCAGCCCCCTGCTCAAGCAGGAGAACCTATACCAGTGATGGCGAACCTTTTAGAGTCTGAGTGCCCAAACTGCAACCCAAAACCCACTTATGCATTGTCGAGTACCGGGTGGGTGTGGCCCATTGGCTGGGTGCGGCCCATTGGGTGGGCATGGCTGCGGTGGTAATGGCAGACTGGGTGGGACTAAAAAGTTCAATCAATCAATTTCAATTTTGCAAGATCTTTTTTTTTTCCTGCGAGAAGTTGAAATTGACTGATTGAAAGTTGTTGTTGTTTTGCACACGGCGGCAGAGGCCTAAAGTGAAAAGGTTTTACAAAACCCAGCTGAAGGCCTAGGACTACGGCGCGCGTGCCCACAGAGAGGGCTCTGAGTGCCGCCTCTGGCACCCGTGCCATAGGTTTGCCACCACTGACCTATACCATCTCAAACAAGTAACTGTCTAGCCTCTTCTTAAAAATCTCCAGTGATGGAGCGCCCACGATTTCTGGAGGCAAGCTGTTCCACTGGTTAATTGTCCTCACTGCCAGGAAGTTTCTCTTTAATTCGAGGTTGCTTCTCTCTTTGATCAGTTTCCAACCATTGTTTCTGGTCCTGCCCTCTGGTGCTTTGGAGAATAACGTAAACACACACACACCCCGTTACAGATAAGACAGTCTAGAATGCATTTTCATGTCTTGCATAGTTACAAATACAAGGCAATGTCATTTGGCAATGTAATATGCTCCAGGGAAGTAGGCTTGGAAAACTGGACTTGGGAATATGATTTTCTCTTCTGATATTCTGCCATTAAGAATCCTGTGTAATAAGTTGGTATTGAAGTAGCCCACTCTTCAGTAACTCTTTCAGATCTTTCAATATAATTCCGTCAATATAAATAGACAAAAACCTTCATATTGTCTGAATATTAAGCCGTACATTCTTTATTCATGGTTACTTGACTGATTCGTAGTTGGTTGCATTCACATATCACACCAAACTAAAAAACATGATTTATAAACCATAATGGGTACCGTAGTAATAAAAAAAACTCATCGTGACCCAGTATATAAACTAAATCCCAAACCAATCTTTTATATAATCCAGAGATCAATAGATAATCATTCTAACTGCAAATAAACAAATTTGACCAGTATCTTCTGTTCTTGCATTAAATCTAAAAAGACATCTCCTCAGATTGCCCTCTACTCTAGTCTTGAATTAGTATGCACCTGTTTTTACAATCCCATTAATTTGATGTCAGGATCTTAGAGCATTTACTAGAGGAGGGTAAAGAAGCATAATAAACTTGAAGGGATACAACAATATATTTGCTCATAATAAGTATTTAGAGATATCACCCTTGGGTTAAAGGAAATCGCTTAGAGAACAATTACGTTTCAAAAGACAATCATTCTTGTAAAGAATTTAAATTTAAATCA